GGAGCGCCATCCGGACGTCATATTTTAAATTCGTTAGTTTCTCGGTGAAAGTGATCATTTGACCCGAATAAGGTCAATCAATTCGCTTATCAGTACAGACCGTTCCATTGTTAGGTATTTCTTACTTTGTACGACTTTAATTCACTCTTTTTTTAATAGTAAGTACACTGTGAGAAAGCCCAGAATTTTCTGCATCTTTTGGTATATAGATCATAAATAAAAAAACATGTCACCTGGATAAGAAATTGCTCACAAGAAAAAATGATGCTTTTTGATTTTGTACAATTTATGTTTTATCTCGATTACACACACAAAACCATTTATTTATATCGATGGTTTGGGATAGAAAACATCAACTCCACGTACAATAGCGCATTTACGATATGCATTCTTGATTTCTGTTTTCGATAATGAAAAAAAAGTTTCTGAAAGTAGTGCAGGAAGATTTGCTGTTGTGACTGAATATTTACTTCGAATACGTTCTTTGATGCTATGCCAAATTGGATTATCTAATGGTGATATATATTTTGCTGATACCGTTGGCATATAACAAACATCGATGATTGTTTTACATTTACCAGTCTTTAATGCTTCAATCATATCTTCGTAAAATAAATACAGAAAAGAAAAGAAACGCCAATGTTTTTTTGTTCTGTGATTCAGAATATGAGCAAATATGTCTCAATGTCATGTTAAAATTTTTTTGAAATTTGGATTAATAATATAACATAACTGTGTTCATTTGGATAGACAGATGCGTTGATTAAAATTAAGTTGTAGATATACAAACAACAATTAAACTTATATGCGCTGATATATAAAAAAAACATCGGAAAGATAAAACCAGAATTGCTTTTATTTCAAATTGTACAAAATCAAAAAGCATCTTTTTTTCTTGTGAGCAATTTCTTATCCAGGTGACATGTTTTTTTATTTATGATTTATATACCATAAGATGCAGAAAATTCTGGGCTTTCTCGCAGTGTACTTACTATTAAAAAAAGAGTGAATTAAAGTCGTACAACGTAAGAAATATCTAAGGGAGGAAATTCTTTTGAGGTGCACTGTAATTCAACTGCTAAATCGAGAAAATTCGGACATTTGTTGGAAGTTAAAATAAAACAAAGTAACGCTTCTTATAACGTATTATTTGCTTATTTTTGACTGCTATGGTACCATTTCCTCTCCTTCCTGTCATCACTTTTCATGAAAAGTCAGAAAATTTACAGAGGTTGCTGCTGGAAAGTTTTTTTCATTGTAAGGAAAGGATATCAATACGAAATATTCAAATCACGTACACTAATATTTACTGAAAGATAAATTAATAATTAATAATATGAGTTCATTGGTCATTTTTTTTTAATTTATTTAAAAAAACTTGTAAATATTTCGAACTGATCTTCAATCCATTATCAACACAAATGACTACCCAGGTCAAAAACCGGCCATCGGATTCTGTCGGATCTGTCTCAGTCTGCCGAATTCCGATGACTGAATCCGATCGGATTCCGATTGTCAGAATCCAATCGGATCTCAACTGATTCCGATAAATTCCGATTTATTCCGATTACCAGATTCCGATGAAATCCGACGGGCGGGCTCGATAGGATTCAGTTGTCGGAATCCAATCGGTTCCGAGTAGTTCATGGTCGGATATTTTGTTTGAAGGAGCTGTCGAGTGTGTCTTAAAATTTTGTAAGGATCATATGCAATTGTGGGTGTTTTCTCGTATTGCAAATCAGAAAGTTCCTGATCCAAATGAGCCTTCTGAAAAATTTGTTCTGCGTAAAAAATGAATTGAATTAATATCTTTTCCCTATTAAAACTAATTATCATAATGAACAAACCAATAGTGTGACCAAGAAACTGGAGCCTCCCTCCACCCCTGTACGTATCGGTCGAAGTGGGGTGTGGATGTGGATGTAGATCTTGCTCCTATCTGCATTCACACCCACATCCACACCTACTCACCCACACCCCACACCCGCATAATATGCCTGTCTTATCTGTGTGGATTGGGTTTGAAGATCCAGAACCACGTATTTGGCTTCAAAATTGTCTACAAAAACTCAAATGATTAAAAGAAATAGGTGATTAGTTGACAGGTTTGGTTACATTAGTTATAGCTTCTCATTAATTAATAGGCATTCCAATTCGTCCACATTTACGTTATGATCTTAAGTTTTTCTCAATTATTGATGACTGCCCAGCATAAAAGTTGATTTTGAACTTCATCAGCCATGTGGAATATAGTTGCTGTTTTTTCTGTAAAATTCATGGTATTCATATATATAACAAGAGACAATATCTATTTGAAGACATTGTGATTCATCGTGATACCCGTTCATACTTAACAGACTCTGCCAAAGGCAGAAAGAACTGGTCAAAATATCTGTGGTCACCTTGACATAAGTGTTCTTACTGAATCTCTCGACATACATTTGCCTCAGGCGATATTAATAGACTATTTACATATCACCCTACTACGACATACAAAGACGATTATTCAAGATTTGTATCGTCGTTTGAAATCTGTACATCGCGAAGAGATTGATGTACGACTGAGGAATCAACAATTCCCTCATTTTTTTAATAGACGAATGCGCGCATTACAAGATTTGTCTTTTGTTAAAGGAATCGAACTGAAAAATATCCTGTTTTATGGATTGATACCTCTCTTTTTTAATTTTGTATCTATTGATCATATAGTGCATTTGTGTCTGTATGTTTCTGGTATTCGCCTGATCCATAGTGAATGTCTTCTTGGCGAAAAGACTCACATTTTGGCTGGTCAACTACTGAAACATTATTACATGGATCATGAGAAGTTCTACGTAGGTCTTCAGAATTTCGTTCTTCACCTGCACCGACACTATGATTAATAGTATATTAATTATGGCGCTCTCAGTAATACTTCAACTTTCGCTGAAGAGGATTTAATAGGCTGTAAGAAAACTTTAGCATTTTCACATCTTCTGTCGAAGATTAATGCGATACTTTTGTGAAACACGATCTGAAAGGAGTGTTGAAGTGTTTAGGGGTAGAAATTTGGCCCCCCCCCCCCCCCCACAGACCGTTACAGACAGGTAATTCCCCCGTCACAGACCGTTACAGGCAGGTAATTCCCCCATCATAAACCGTGACAGAGAACCCCGGG